AAGTACAAAGCAGTGAAAATCATTAATAGGTAATCGTTCGATGGGCTAAATTGCACAAAACGCATGGTCGCACCGGCTAGTCTGGTGCGCGCTGCTATTTATTTTCTTCTGTATGGATAAAATGTTGGCTTTTTCATAGGGATCCGCCTATGAGCAGCTCACAACCCACTCCTCAATCGTTCTGCTGCTCCCTCCCCTCTCCCCCACGGTCGTCCCACCACACCTCATCTCCCTTAGTGGACAGTAAATTGAGGGTGTGAGAGCTCCTGGGCGAGAGGGGAGCGGGAGAGGGACGGGGACGACAGGCAGTACCGAACACACTTCTATACAGTAAAACAACTACTACCTAAGCCTCCGGGGAAGGGGGGGGGGGGGGAAAGGCTCCTTATCTCCCTCTGGATCCACCAATGCTCTGGTTGCATAAAAAAACAAAGACAAGTTGAGAAATTTTTTGGAAGAAATGCCCTGGATGTTAACTTATACACAACTAAACAGGGTTGATGAGATTATCGAAGAAGCAGACGGTGTGATGGTTGCCCGCGGTGATTTGGGTATCGAGATTCCGCCTGAAAAGGTATTTTTGGCCCAGAAAATGGTCATTGCTAAATGTAATCGTGCTGGAAAACCAGTCATCTGTGCCACGCAGATGCTTGAATCGATGGTGAAGAAACCGCGACCAACTCGTGCTGAAGGTCTTTATCAGTTTTCCTCTCTTTGTAAATTTACTGCTTAAAATTTTACGAAAAACTCCAAAAAGTTAAAATTTGAACCAGAAACGCTTACAGATTTAAAATTTTTGATACTTTTACCTGTTGTCTGCATTTCTGATATAACAATGAAATCCAACATCTATACATTAGAGATCAAGGTAGAATTGGTGTCAAAGTATCTTTTTAATCAAGTGGGGAGAGGCTAAGAAATGTGTGAGAGTTTTAATGACCTAAGTTTACTCAAGATCAATTAACTGCTTCTTGAAGAGAACTGCAACTGGTATCTAGAGGCTGAGCTGATAAAGCCATTTAATCAGTAGCGTTTGAAAAATGAGCCGGAAGTGATGAGCAAATGGTGCTTGCAAGCACCTTACTTTATATGCAAAGTTCTGTGACTTTTCCCATTTGCGAAGTACTTGGCATACGCAGTTCGCTACTTGCAGAGTAGTACCCTTTGTGGAGTTATGTTTTTTTAACATGATGTTAGTTGTCTTTCCACATCTGTTTTAAAACGTTTTTGTGAAATCAAATTCGTGCTGACGTGTGCTGAACACTGTGCAAAATGAGCGGTGTAGAAAACCCATTACACTGATGCTGCTATATGTAACAGTCTTGAAATTATCGATGTTTTGAGAAAAATCTCTCTCCACTGGATTATCCAGTTTTGCCTACGAACTATCGTTCTCACTAGTTCGTGGATCTTTGGAAGTCATTTGACTATTTCTTCTTCTGCCTTGCTGGAGGCCCTCCCTGTTATGGGACGTCGAGTAGTTATAGGCACTTGCGTCTTTTCAATAATCATTTCTCTTTAGCCATTCGCTACGATATTTGTTCACCTGCCCACGCATGAGAATTAGCAAATTTAAGCTTATTATTTCGGATTTAAATGTAGTGAATTTAGGCGGCGATGTTGCAAACGCGGTGTTGGATGGTGCCGACTGCGTAATGCTGAGCGGCGAAACAGCAAAAGGCGACTACCCAGTGGAAGCACTCAAAATTATGCATCAGGTAAACACTTCTCCATCTTTTTCAGCTCTTCGAAATTTTTTTAAAACCAACTTATTAAAGAAGGAAGGCGGTGGAAGAATCAAGCACACGCACAAACACACACGCACACACCTACACACACTACACACAGATATATCCACGCACATGCACAAATACACACAAATATTCATATGCACATGCATACCATACACGCAAGCACACAAGCACAGGCCACAAACACATGCACATAAAACACGTACATATATTAAACTATCGATATTAAGATTTCTTTTAATATGCAACTTCAATAAATTTTTAAAACAGTACCATTTAAAATTCCTTACTACAATGTTAATGATTTAAATTTAGATACTTTGTGTTATGGAAAAGGTCATAAAAAGATAAAAATAGAAACAAAAATGAAATCTGAATTGGAATGTTTCGGTCCATTAGTTGCATACATTCCATTCAGTGCTGCAACTGGACCTCGTCAGTATGACGGTTGCAGCAGAAGTATTAGTAACATACAGTGTGGTAAAATAAAGTAGAAAATTTGAGGGTTAAAAAATTTTAAAATATTTACATCTAGTGATAAAAAAAGTTCGTTGGTGTAATGCAAGGATACCTATAAATAAGAATCGAATGTAAAAAAATTTAAAGTCTAAACAAGCGATCACACAAAATTATATTATTAGAGCAAAGATTAATAAGTAAGAAGAAAATAAGAAAGAATAAAAGGGAAGGATACGAGTAGGAGGAATGACATCGATTGGGACAAATGAAAGAAGAGATCAGGAATAAAAAGAAAGGTAGGTAGAAATGGTAGGAAGGAGCATACAAAAGGAAAAAAGAGAAAAGTTTTTTAAAAAAGGGGTAAAAACTAAGAAGAAAAAAATTCGTTTAAAATATTATTAATGTTAATATAATTAAGATAAAAATATTTGGTAAACTGTAGTCAATGCAGAATTAGGAAGGACGAACATATACCTAAAAGTATATGTTTAGTACAACCTCAATGGTAAATAAAGACATTAAAGTATTAGCTGCATCAAAAAAAAAACTTTGTAAAGTAGATTCTATCCGAAGAAACCGAACAAGTTGGCTGTATATAATGTTAGTATGTATTTGCAAATGAATACTGCTGTCTAAATATGAATACCTATTTACGAAAAAAATTAAAACAGTCTGGCTTGTCAAGCTAAAAATGCTTAACCATGTCTTGACGTTGCTTTGATATTCCGCGGGTTTTCCCATAAAACTCCGGTCTAACTAACTCTGCATCATTCCTTGCGCACTGCAGTTTATACCAGGAGCTAAATTACAACATTGACCGGATCAAATTACGTACTCCTTTGTACGATTCTGTTTGCCAGACATCTTTTCTAAAAGTTTTTGCGAGCGAGGCCGCAAGCAGTTGTGGCGATGTGTTTTTTCAGTGGTTGTTATTTAATAGTATATGTAGTTGGTGTTGTAGATATGCAAAGAAGCGGAAGCAGCAGTGTATCACATGCGATTCTTCGAGGAACTCCTGCACGTCACTCCGAAACCAACCGATATCGCGCATACTATTGCTATCGCAGCAACGTCTGCAGCAACATCATGCAAAGCAAGTGCCATGATCCTAGTCACTACAACTGGCCGGTGCGTTCACCTTTTATCGAGTTCTGTGAAGAATTAGCGAAAAAAATAGGGATTTAAATGTTCAGGATAGGGGAGGCAGTGGTAACACATTGTGTGCGAATGAGAAGAGAAGTGGTTCGATTCCCTCTCTCCAGAACAATTTTTCGAGAAAAGGCTCCGTTTGCGAGAGACAAGGCATACTACTGTCTTCAATTATAATCTGCACTTGCATGCAAAATGTGCAGAATCAGTCAAATGAAAACATTTAAGGAATGTAAATTGCCCGTGAGGGCATCCTGATGATTATTCTTGTGAATTTAAAATATGTTTTCTTCTCATAATGCTGTTTAGCATCATAATAATATCAAGCAAAAACGTGCTTTACGATGACCCTTTTTAAGACAGGAAATAAAACAGGAAAGTGGTACTTACATGACGGATATTTTCAACAACAAAAAGACTTCCAACAACAGGAAAACCTTCAAATTTTCTCCTCAAATCCTGCAAACATCCATGTCCAAGCTTCCATCAAAATGGGACGCTTAACCAAAGATTTCCAGAAATTTTATTTCTCCTACAAATGCCTTCTTGAAATTCGAAGTAGAAGTGAATTGGCCCAGAGAGAATGCATGGAGATGAGCAAAATTTCATTTTAACTCTAATTTTCTTGTTGTTGAAAACATCTATTTTATAACTACCACTCTGTTGTTTCCCTCATCCCTTGTCCATATTCTCATGGGTTTAGGCGCAATTCCAGTCAAATATGGTGTAATGCAAAATATATGATGCAGTTCAACAGAAAATAGCGTAATCGGCGAAATTTTCCAGTCAAATGTTGTTACTTTTTTGCGTTCCTCTTCTACCGATGTTGCAGTTTATAAATTACAATACAAAGAGTTTGTCAGTAGGATCAGCTTTTGCATTTTGTCTTCACATTCTTGCAGTGATAAAGAATTTCTATCATAACAGGAGCCTAGTTTACCAAAAAGTTTAAACGTTTGCGTGTGAATATCGAAATAAAAGAGACTTAAATTAGGTAAGATGTGAAGCTTCAGTCTGGTTCTCCAGTTACTGCCATATTTCACTCATTCTGATCATTCATAAGGATGATTGCACAAGTAGCCTTTTCTCCAAGCGGTTGCGTGATGGTCACAGTGCTTCAAATCTCTTCAGCTGAGTAAATGTTGGAGTCCAATTTTTTGCCCACATCGAAATTTTGATGTATCTCATTTGTAGATCAGCTGGTTTGGTATCTCGCTATCGACCAACTATGCCAGTATTTGCAATATGCCGCGATCGCCGTGTCGCTCGTCAACTTCATCTCTGGCGTGGAATCTTTCCGCTTCATTATGAAGGTGAACTAGAATGAAATTGTCTCCTTCCTTTAAAAATCCTCGGACTCGGGCTTTTAAAACGTTTTTATTCACTGGATGGAGCGAGGATTTGGTGTGTGTGTGTGTGTGTGTGTGTCTGTGTCTGTGTGTATCAGTTTGTTTGTCTGTGCGTTCCTCCACATGACACAACTCCTGCGTTAGATATCAACACAAAGCAGTGCTAGGACCAGCATTTTCCGTCAACAGATAATGCAAGCGCTTTCAGCGTCCTCTTTCCGTGAATTCAAAATAAATTTTTTTTACAGCTGGCCGAGAGACCGACTGGCCGAGTGATGTGGATGCGCGTATCAATTACGGTATTTCCATTGGCAAGGAACGTGGTTTCATCAAGAAGGCCGATCTGGTAGTAGTCATCACTGGCTGGAGACAAGGTATACCTTTTCTTGAAGTCGTTTTTCGCCTATTTGAGATATATGCGGCACTACTTGCTATTTAGTTAGCTTTATGAAAGTAGTGTTTGTGACACAGGTGCCGCTGGTAGTCTTAATTTCGTTTTTTAGCCGCTGTTACTGGGCTCAATGTTTCTTACTCTTAAAAAGAGTTAGTACCCGCTGCCTGTTTTACGTATGTCCGGCTACTTGGCGACCTTTGATGAGATGGAGCGCATACACAAAACAGGTGCTGGTACCAGTTGGAGGTGTGCAACCCTAGACCGAAGGGCCTCGCATATCCACGCTTGGCGTTTGTTAGTAATATCCGTGATAGTGGAATCCTACACTGATAGCTCAGGCGGTCTTGGTATTCTTCATAAAAAGAAAATTCATGAAACTGGAAGTTTGCAGGTGCCGGGCACACGAACACGCTGCGCATTATCAAGGTCCCGTGAACGTTAACGCAGTATAATACAGAAACCAGCAGTTTTCTTCTCACAATTTCTGATGCACTTTTGCAGTTTCTAATTATCCCGCTAGTAGCGCAGTACCTCTTCTAGTCGGTCTCTTCTAATCTCACTTGTTTTCATCCATCTCTGCATATGAGTCTCAATAGTCGGCTTTTCATTTTGCAGATGTAAAGGCTTTAAGTCTTGCACATGTTTTTTTTTGCCGTGCCTAAACATAGCTTTTTGGATTATAAGCATTCTTATTGGCAGTGAGCAAAAATGGAAGAAAACTTCTGATGCCTTCTCCGGACATATTCAGATTTAATGCAAATTTGACCAAAGGTTGTGATTACGCGGTTATTATGAAGCTTTGTGGTTTACAAAACGTGCGATCGACAATTTTCACATTATTTAATAGCAAGAGCGCTTATCCCAGATACTTTCTTTGCATCCATAGAGCTTATAATCCGTGAGATTGTCTGTATCTGTTGTGATGTTTGTTTGTACTGCTTAGATTTATAGATTATAGGATGATTAGTGGAACAAGTTTGCGCATCTGCTGATAATTTTCAGTCAGTTCTATTGTCCCAATTCCTTTGAAAAATTAGTGGCTGAAAAAGAAAATTTGATGCAGCAGTTTAGAAATGCTGGAATAGTGTTGAAGCTAAAATTCAGACTTCAGTGGATGATTATCGGAAGTAAAAATCCTACTGCACTCTCAAAAAGCAGCTGATTGACTTCGGTTGCTGTTTTACTGTCATTGTGGCTTTCGATGATTTTATTACTTACAGACCGGTGATTTATGTTTCTGGCGATTCCGGTGTGCTGTTAAATGTGTCTATTATTATCGGTATGCTCATCATGCTTCTCCAGTGACATTTTGACGTATCTCCTTTTAGCTTATTTTTGCTAATATTTTTAAGCTTGGTAGTTTAATTTATTTCGTAATAACTTTTTCGTTTCCATCCTATCCTTCCCCTTCCTTCATTCACCCTCATCTGTTCATTCTCCCACTTCTCCTCTATCTAAATTCCCTTTTGTGCTACACTAAATTTGCCGGAATTTTGTATAAACTTAGAGGAGATAGATACAACTACGAACTTTGAATACAGCCTTTCCGATGCTTACCTGTGTAGTGCAGTCATTCTGTTAGTTGATTTTAGTTATTCAGTTTGTGTTTTGGTGATTTGACTGATGGGATATAGAAATAGAAGAATGGAAGAATTTTACTTGAATGTCATGTGTTTGAAGACATTTTATGGTGCAGTCTGTGTTTCATCCCTTAGCTGACGCAGTCTGTGTTTCATACACTTGTGATATCTTTCAGTACTTTAGCTTAATAAAGAATTTCAGCAACAAACAACCCTACATACAAATTAAAACCGATCAACACTGGCTGCACTGACCTGGGCAAAGTGTATTTTTTGCCTCAAGGGCCAAGAAGCATTCATATTGTTAGGGGAAGGAAAAGTAATTTGTATTTCACGATTTCTGACGCTCACAAACCTTAGAATCTGATTAGGAAGGAGCAGATGTGGGATAAAGAAAAGAAGAAGGTTGATTTACGGAACTTATAGAAATCGGTGTGGATGCGCTGCAGTACCATCACGTGTATTTGTATGACTATGCGTTTTAGCATATATGCAAATGCAAAAACGCATATTGTGACAACTCACGGTGTGCATGTATATTTGTGTATGCGTTATGTGTGTATGTGTGTGTGTGTGTTTGTCTGGGTATTTCATCTCGACAACCAAGCAAGCTCCGGCGCTAAAATTTTACCAGGGGGATCCCCAGTTTCGCTCACGACCGTGGGACTAAACCCCGCGCACGCTTAGAACTAAACCCCGCGCACGTCTAGTGCGCATCGTCAGTGGTTTCACTTTACAGAGGGTCTGTTTTCACTGGGCTGCGATTGCGGTACTGCAATTTGAATATTTGGTTTGTATGTGCACAGGGGATATGCTAAAGCGGGAATACATTTTGCGCTTGCTGACGTGCACATAACTAACAGAATTCTCAGAAAAACCGTTTCTTGCTGGGTCTGGTTATCCAGTTAATTAGATGCTAACAGCGTCCTGGATTACATTTTTACTTCAGCTTAAGTAAGACCTAGGCGCTCTTTGAAGATAAATTTGAGATATTTGGGTCGCACAATAGGCATAGAATATCCTCGTAAAATTTCCGTTTCCTAGATTTACTGATTGGTGAAACCGCTTTTCGTCACAAACATTTTCAACTCATCCAAGTGCGTCACATAGGCGTTGTCCAAAGCTCACTTCAGGCACACGCGCCTGTGCGTAAAAAACAAATATCTCTGTAATATTGGGGAACTTAATCCAGCTTGACTTGGCATTTTGCCAATAGTATCTGGATTTCAATTTTGATTTGTCTGCATGTGTAACGTAAAGATGTGTGATAGCTAAGTTTGAAGTCTTGATACATAGGCAGGTATATCCAAATGAAGTTTTAGGCTCCTGTCTTGTCTGGTTCCGAAAATTGTTTTGCTGCCAAAAAATTTACATAAATTCTTCTGAACGTCTGGGCATGAGACTCAAGCATACATGAACGTTGATTTCTGGTCGATGTTATGGGTGGCACGTTGACTAGGAACATCATTGTGAAATTTCCGCTTCCTAGCTTCTGCGATTGCTGAGTTGAACGTAGACGAAAAAAACATGAACAGACAGACACGCAGCCTTTCGAAACTATGTGCTTTTGTTGTGCAGCTGTAGCGCTGCTACAATGAGCAAAAACACATGTCGTCAAGACGCTGGCGGTGAGTATGTATGTGGGGAAGGAGGTTGGGGAGGGGAGGGAGGAGTAAGTGAACTTTGTCACCCACCCTCAACTCAACAACTGGAAAGGTGGGGGGCTGGAATTTTGCGAGCGAGTTTCCAGCATTAGTGTCACCCTTGCAACCTAAAATCACCTACGGACGTCGAAAAAGAAATAAGCAAATTTGCTGGCGGGAAAACGACTTCGAGAGCCAAACAAGTTAGAAGGCAAAAATTTCACGCCGATGTTCTCTGCGCATGAGTGAGCTAAAGATTTCAAACTGACGCTTATATATACATAAATCAGGCCAAACTTCGCGATTGGCATTGTACCAATCCAAAAACTAGTTTTAAAATAGTAGATGAAAATTCTTCAGTATATTTACCGTCCATTTACGAAATCATATATCTAAAACGAGTTTTTATTTGCACCTACTCCACGACCTAGAGCGATTCAAAGATACTTGTAGCTAACTGGATATCTCGCTTGCTAGACTAAGTGCGATACTGAAACTTTGCAAGCTTGGAGGCTAAATTTGATTTAATTACAGCTTGGAGGCTAAATTCTTTGCACAAAAACATGAGAAATACTCAATTTTACAGCAAACACAAAAACGATTGCTTTTTGCGGATTTCGTAATCTTCCTGTTCTGATATTCTGTGAACTACCATATTTGCATTTTTGAGTAATGACCGCTCGTCAGAAAAATGACCGGTCTTTATACACAAGACTGATAATTATTATGTACGCTAGAGGCTCACGCGAGCCTATGATGCAACATTACCACCCTAATGAATGCTTTTTTTGCATGCAAGAGAACGCCAAAAAAACACAGCCAGCGTTTGTCCATGTGTTAAACTCGTAGCGCAGGGCCTATTGATGCTGTTAATTATTTGAATGCTGCAAGTTTAGCGCAAAAAGGGATAATTGCACTCGTAAACCTGGTACATTTGCAGCGAGGCTGGGGTTGCATTTGCGTAAAGATGCAAGGACTCATAATGAAACCCAGGCTAGAGCGCACCAGGCTTGCCAGTGCGATTATGCGTTTTTGCACTAAACTCGTGGGTCACTAATAACAGGAATAATCCTTGCGCTGCAGCCAAACACTTGGGCTCATATTGGCCGTGCCTTGTTTTCTTCCGGCATGCACTAGAATGGGTATCGGTTGGGATGAGGGTGTTGCATTGTAGAGCCGAATGGACCTCCAGGTACATGATTATCAGTTTTCTGCATGAAGCTCGGTCGTTTTTTTTTAGTAAATGCTTGTTTTTTGCAAAAAATGAAAAATGCAAGTCTTTTGGAAAAACCAAATTTCCAATTCACTAAAAAGTGGAAGCATTGCTCGAGCAGTCGTTTGTGAAAAAGTCATTTACATATTTGGATGAGAGCAGCCTTCGCTGCAAAACGCACTCGTTTCTGATTTTTCGGTAAAATTGATTATTTCCCACGTCTACCTGAAGGGAATTTCACCTCCAAGCAGAATTTAGACCGCACTTGAAAGTAGAATATCCCAGCCAATTTTAGCCTCGCACTTTGTCCGGTAAGCGAAATATCCACTACGATACAAATATCTTTGAGGTGCTCTAAGTCGTAGTGCAATACTAATTTTAAGTATGCTACTTCCTGTATGGGCGACAAACATTCTGGCTATATTTCAGCCACTTTTTCCGGTGAATTTTCGAGTTAGCACACTACCAAGCGCAAGTGTGCGCGACATCTAAAGTTGAAATCTTCATTTCGCACATGCACAAGGAGTATCCTAGCAAAGTTTCAGTTTTGTACCTTGCCTGGTTCGCGAAACCGTTTCCCGCCAAAGAAATTTCCATATTTTTTTTGGG